CCCCTCAGCGGCCGCTGCCCGCGCGCCGCGCCGCCATTCCAAACCCGCCGCCGCTCCGCGCCTCGGCCATCGGCTGCTCTGGTCTGCGCGCTGCCGTGACGACAGAGGCCACGCCCGCCGCCAGGCGCAGGAAGTGGCGCGCCGAGGCGGCGCGTGCGGCGGAGCCATGGCCGGCGGCGGCTGCGTGAACGGGCGCAAGAGGCTCCGCGGCGGCGGGGACGGGCCCCGCGGGGCCGCCAAGAGGAGCAGGCGCGGGGAGGGCGCCGAGGTGGGAGCGGCCGCGGGCGGGGGCCGCCATGAGGTGTGGTGAGGGCCCTGGGAGGCCTCGAGGCCCTCCCTGCCACGAGCACGGGCCGGTCCCGCGCCGGGGCCGCTGCCGCGCGGGGCGCCCCGCTCGCGCACGGGCAGCCCTGGCGCGGGGACCTGCCCGTGCTCGTCCCTCCTGACGGCGCCCCTCGGTCGAGGCCGTCTGGGACACTGAAATAGCAGCAGCCTTGGTGTGCGAGTTGGTAAATGAAATCCTGCTTGCGCTTGTTGACAAAGGAAACTTGTCAAAAATGATAGGAGAAGTTATTTTAATTTTTTTTTTTTACACTGACTGTAACTAAGTAGTGTTTCTGTTTTACCATCTAATCTCCATCCTTTTCCATGAACTTGCATGATTGCGTAAAACCTTTCATGGAATCCCAGAATGGTTGAGGTTGGAAGGGGCCCCTAGAGACCCTCCAGTCCAACCCCTGCTCCAGCAGGGACACCCGGAGCACGGGGCACAGGGCGGCATCCAGGCGGGTTGGGAAGATGTCCAGAGACGAGACTCCACAGCCTCCCCGGGCAGCCTGTGCCAGGGCTCCATCACCCTCACAGTGAAGAAGTTTCCCCTCATATGGAGGTGGAACTGCCTGTGTTCCAACTTACACCCATTATCCTTTGTCCTGTCGCTGGCCACCACTGAGAAGAGTTTGTCCCCTTGCTCCCTACGTTCTCCCCTCAGGTACTTACGTATGTTGATAAGATCTCCTCTCAGTCCTCTCTCCTCCAGGCTAAACAGGCCCAGCTCCCTTAGTCTTTCCTCATGCGATAGATGCTCCAGGCCCCTTTCTCTATCTGCACTTCCCTTTTCAGGAGAAGCCGTCGCGCCTGTCAGCAGCCTTGTTTGGTGAGGACTGTGAAATCAGCCATGAGCAGGTGTACGAGCTGCTCAAGTACGCGGCCTTGGGG